TGTGGATTTTCTTTCAAACATGAATGCTAGTAGGCGAAAACACTTTCACTTGGCAATCAACCAGGAATGAAGTAGCTATTCAAAGTTCACCGGACACTTTCATAGTGTGAAATTAAAGAGAGTTTATTTTTTCTATACAGTTCTCCACTGATGTGCAACAGTTAGTGTTGATGTCTAGTTAAGGTTTTTTTGTTTTAAATTTTTAAGTCATTCTAGAAAATAAAAGAAGCAGCTCTGGGTTTGCCTTTATTAAAATCATTATCATAACTGCCCCCAAGAAAACAACAACAACAACAACAACAACAACAACAACAACAATAATAATAATAATAATAGAAAAGTTGGAAGGGACCTTGGAGGTCATCTAGTCCAACCCCCTGCTCAGGCAGGAAACCCTATACCATTTCAGACAAATGGCTGTCCAGTCTCTTTTTAAAGACCTCCAGCGTTGGAGCATTCACCGCTTCTGGAGGCAGATTGTTCCACTGGTTAATTGTTCTAACTGTCAGGAAGTTTCTCCTTAGTTCTAGGTTGCTTCTCTCCTTGATTAATTTCCATCCGTTGCTTCTTGTCCTGCCTTCAGGCGCTTTGGAGAATAGCTTGACTCTCTCTTCTTTGTGGCAGCCCCTGAGATATTGGGATACTGCTATCATGTCCCCCCTCATCCTTCTCTTCATTAAACTAGACATACCCAATTCCAGCAGCCGTTCCTGCATATATGTGTATAAGGAACTGAGCTTGACTTCAGCCTCTGATTACCTGTAATGTTAAAAAGTCTTCCTAATTCATTATGGATTACATCCTAAATGTTAATAAATAAAGTATAATTTTCTTAACTGGTAATAAATAAATGTGAGATTCATTTAACAGCAAAAAAAAAAAAAAAAACCCCATGGAAACCATTTAAGGACAATTAGGGGTCAGAACTCCAAATAGTTTTATTTTTGGATAAGGGTCTATTAAAATTATGAAATTTTAATAATGTAAGCTAACGAGAGGCCCCCAGTGTGAGTTGGGTGGCCCTATAAATGTATTTAACCAATCAATCAATCAACCAATGTTTCTTCATTTTCACAGGTGTAAACTTTTAAAAAGAAATGCTATGGGATCTTTCAGATTTTTTTATAGTCCCAAACCAGGGGTAGGCAACCTTGGCTCTTTTATGACTCGTGGACTTCAACTCCCAGAAATCCTGAGCCAAGGTTGCCTACCCCTATCCCAAACCAACCTCTCAGAATCCTAAACAAACCTATTGCTCCTAGTTTCCCTATACAGAATTTCTTAGTTCTTAAACTAAATGATTGCAATAATTTGGCTTGTTGAATAAGCCAAAATGGTCTATTTCTCAAACAATGGGCTTGGACATTGTGCTAAACTGGAAGCAAATTGTATTAATTTGCTATGTAAAGGCAAGCATGGACTGGTTCATACATCAAGTTAAGTTATAAGATATATGGCTTTGTCTATGTGATTTTTGCTTAGCAAGTTTTGCATATCCAGCAGCTGTATTTCATAAACTATAGCTTATGGCCTAAAGTGACTATAAATCCAGTCCTTGTATTTATTTAATCCACTAGTTAATGGACTATTCACTACGTAGTGTGATATGCAATTTCAGTCAATGTGCATCTTGCTGTTCCTGTTTAGCAATACCTTTATGTCCCTACATAAAACTTGCATTTTTAACAAATTATATATCCATGAAATATAAAATAGAAAGTTTGAGGAAAATCTGCATTAGTTATTGCTGCCGCTAATATGATGGTGATTGGTCACAGAATTAGCCAGATATGTATTATCTGTTCACAACAATGTGAAGTCATAGCTACCAGGTCTTTAACGAATATTGGCCTTCATACGGATCAAATTATTTCCAAGAACCTAGAATGTCTTAATGTATCGGCATATCATATGTACACATTGAAGGAGTGTGGCCTTTTTGTCAACTGCAGATTTTCTAAGCGCTATCCAAGATTTTTGGGTATGGCACCCATAACTACTAATATTGCCACATTAATTATCCACACTTATTTTCTTTTCAATCACAGTTATAGCTAGTGTATTATGAGCAACAATTTGTAATTACTATATAAACAAAAATGCATAATTACAGCTGCCAGTTCTTAGTAGTGCTGGCTTTTGTAGGAAGTAACTTCAAATTAATATATATTCTATATATATTCTAATAATATTCTATTATTATTATTACTTTATTTTTTCCAATCCAATTAAGCTGTTGGGAGACTCAATTATTACATTACATAGGTTGGGAACTCTATGCAATGCCCTCCATCTTATCCCTCTTTTATTTCCTATTGCTTTTTATTAACAGAGTTGAGGAACTCATTAGGAACCTTGTTATCCTTAACTTTGCCTTCCTCATTATGATAGATATTTTACCTCTGCTGTCCTGAAGCACCACCTCATTTAGTCCAAAATTATTCAGACCATAAAAGGAACAGTGTATGTTCTATTTGCTCCTCAGTTGTGTGTATGAGAATAATCTTTTATATGCAGATTATTTGAAGTGCAAATGACTCAGAAAAGGAAATGAGGTTCAGCTCCATTGCCAAGTCATTGGAATAGTTGGCCTAAAATAATGCCCAAAATTCTGAACTAGAAAATTTGCTATCTGGATTTCTTTTAAGGGGAAATATTTACAAATAAATACACAAATATGGTGAAATGAGTACTTCCATAAGAATGCTTTTGTAGCCACTACTATAGTGACTGTTTATATATGTTTAACCCAATTCTCATATTCATTATATTTAGCTTTCCAACTCAACTTGGGATTACATGAATAACAATTTTCATCAGGAGTTAGCCTGACAGAAAAATAAATAAGGATGAACTATTTATTTTTAATAGTTAAAAAAGAGCATCAGCAGGACCAAAAAAATTATTCTCCCCTCTTATATGATGATCCTTCAGTAATTATTCATAACTGTTCTGCCTGAAAAGAAACAACGGACTGAATTTCATATCAACAAACAATGTGATGGTAAACAAATATTGAAGCAAAACAAACAGGTGACTTGAGATATATTACTACACTATCAGAATCCATTAACCATAACAATAAACATAGGTACATTTATAGAATGACAATCATAATATTTTAGAATATTAATAATAATATTCATATTTAATGTATTTTAAAGTGTTACCAAATGATGACACTTTTAGTACACATTATTTGAAAATGTTTGCTTTAAATTAAAATGTATTCAATAAATTGGTAATGGTGTGCTGGTTAATTAAAACCTCATTTAGCCAAAAAGAGAGAAAGATCTACTATACACCCTTGTTTAAATCTCCTACAGCGTGGGTGTCAAACTGCCGACCCGCGGACCAGATGCGTCATGAGGAAACCGCGCCCACCCCAGTGCCAGCAATGGGGAAAAAAGTTCCAATATGTCGTGTGACATCACGAGTTTGACATGTCTGTCCTACAGGTATAATGCCAAAACTGATCATCATGACTCTAGTTATTGATTTTATAAATTCCAGAATCAGATATTTGTTATTTGTATTTTTACACAAACTGATCTTTCATTTTACAGAGTTTCTAGCCTCCTTTCCATGAATATATGCCTAATTATAGATAGGCTATGAACACAAAAAAGATGGCAGAATTAACATTTTGATGCTTTTTTATATGGTTGCAACATTCCTGTAGTGTTTCATATTTATTCTGATATAACAATAATGTACATTTTCCATACATTGCTTTTGTTTTTTTGTTTTTTTTAATTAAGAAACCCCATGTACTTTCTAATCCTAAACCTTCCAAAAATATATGAAAAAGTAATATTATAATAGGAATTCCTTTATGAGTTTCTTCCAGACATTATAAAATAACAGAAGTCCATTGAACAAATGGCATTTAATATATATACATCCACCATCAAGCATTGCTTGACGACTTTCATTTGTGAGTCACAATGTTAGCACAACAGATAACAATTTCATACTGACATGTTTAGATTCAATACTTCATTCCATCTTCAAGCTACATGGATGAGTCTGATCTTTGTGTTATTCTCCCCTGCCACCTGCTCTGCTCATAGGAGTGCAAGAAAACTAAAGGCATTCTTTTCTGCTCATTGCAGTTTATCTGATTAAACAGAGGTCAAACTGAAGTTTTACATCTGGTTCGTTTAAATAAAATATAATTAAAATAACAGAAGTTTAGGTGTAGGGCAAACCAAGTGAGAATCAAAAACAGAAGCAGATGTTCCTAATCTCTTCACATTCTTACCTGAAGTGAGAATGCCTGTACCAGTGAAGCATAACTTAGCATAACAGCAAGGTCACCATTTCACATGCAATGCTTTCAGTGAAGCAGTTGCTATGTAAATTTCTAACAGCTCTTCAGAGCATCCAGGTCCATTTCAAGTCTTCCAGCAGAATGCTTAAAACATTACTAAACTGGATGAATATTGATCTATCTGCGTGGCTGAGAGATCAGATGGCTACTTGACCACATGGCCATCTCTAAAGTACCACATGACCAGAGACAATTATAAATCAAGTCAATAAGATCCCAACAAGCTTTTATTTATTGTTTCAAATTTGCCGGCCATCCTAATGCTTTCTGACAACTCTTCGTTACTTTTTTTCCCCTTGTGTAACAAGTTCCTTCTGTGTCTAATCACACCACTTGGCCAATAATTCTATTCCAGGCTAGTCTAGTCTAATCTAATCTTATTCTATTTTTAGTTTTTCACTATGTTTTTACTTGCTCTTGTAAACAAAGATAGTTTATTTCTTCTCCTACCCACAATTGATATTGCAAAATAGGAAGCAAGCCAGGAGTCACTGTTATCAAGTTCCGATCATTAAGAATATCAAATAGAACATCTTTAAGATTACTCATGGAGTTTAATCAATGATTTACAAAGAATAACTTAAAGTGATCGTTCTTTAGCGGTCAACTACACCATAATTAATTTTTTTTTAAAAAAGGGAACTATTTTGATCCTTTAGAAGCTTACCTCTTGGAGAACCCTCTTCATTTTCAACAGCATTGTTTTTACTGCTGTGCAGTCTTGCATCATCAGACGGAAGGGCAAAGATTCTAGACCGCCACCTTCCTCCATGGTTGTGAAAGGCCATTCTACAGATGGGCTGATGGCTAGCTGGTTTACACGAGGACATCGTGCCTCCCCTCGATCCACTTCCTTGGATAACTTAAGAGAAAGATTCCTGTAAAGAAATACCATCCATAAATTAGCAAGCAATGCTAATGTGGTTTTTTTTTTTTAAGGAAATGAATTAAAAAGATGAAGCATTGTTCAAACAAAGGCCTATTAACTTTCCCTACGTTCTCTGCAGTCTTCAGTATTTTCAGTACACTGATCCATAAATCTGTTACACCACAGTGATTTCTGAAGAACTTGAAAGCAGGTTTCTATACTCAGCCCATGATTTACCTATTTAAATCTGAGGGCAACATCTCAATTAATAAGGAAAAGCTATCAAACTCATGACCCTTCAAGCACTTGAGAAAAAGCAACTGAATCAGATTCATAGACAAATAATAGAGGCAATAAATTCCAAAATTAAAGAGCCAAAGGAAAAAAAGAAAAGAATACAAATAAGGGAATGCAGACAGAAGAAAGAGAAAGGGGAGGAGCTATAAAGTATTAATTACAAACAAGAATATTTTAGCATACATAAGAGACTGAACCATGAGAAATACTTTTCTGTCTATATACCTATTCCTTGTGTACATTTTGGTTCTAGTCTTTCTTTCAATAAACTCCTAATATTTGCCTATATAGCTGAACTTTTTGAATTATGCTGTCAGGTTGCATGCAATTTAAATATAAATGGTCTTCTTGCCTGAACCTCAAAGTAACTTGCATAATTAATTCTTAATCATCATCAAAAAGAACAATTCTGTTCATGAACACACTTGCACATACTAGAAAGAATCTTGGTTCAGTTTGCATCCTCTATTAACACAAGATAGAAAGCTATTAAAACTCTCCTGTTCCGGCAGGCCTGGGGTTGATGTCCCCGGGGGGGGGCGGGATTCGATTGGGACATGCTGTGTGAATGTATTCATTTTTAATTCTTATACTTGTTGTTTTAATTTTGTACACCGCCCTGAGTCCCTAGGGATTGGGCGGCATATAAATTTTACTAATAAATAAATAAATAAATAAGATACTATTACACAGAGAGATATACTCAAAATCAGGATCCTTTCAAAGTTGTAACTAACATAGCATTAGCAGAGAACATATAAAGTATAGTACTACATATTCTTAGTGTATTCCACCCCAGGCTATGCAAGCTATTGTTGGAATAAGTAAGCACAAACCACATATATAACAACAAAGTCAGAATGGATTGTGAAAATAGAATCAACTGCACAAGGGTAAAAATGGAGTTTCTGGAATCTCCCAAAGTTTTATTATGATCTCATTGGATGTAACTTTGAGGACCTCTCACAGAGAAGAGAGGGCTGATGTATTCTCCAAAGTACCTGAGGGTAGGACAAAAAGTAATGATAGAAACATATCAAAGAGAGATCCAACCTAGAATTAAGGAGAAATGTCCTGTCGGTGAGAATAATTGATCAGTGAAACCGCTCGCCTCCAGAATCTGTGGGTGCTCCGTAACTGGAAGGTTCTAAGAGATTCAACAGTTTTTGTCTAGAATGTTCTAGGATCTCCTGCTCCTACTGGTAAATATTTGGTCACTCTTGCTTTAAATGGATGTGTAAGGAAACTGACCTTGCTTGGTGATTCTGAATCATAACACCCAGCAGTCCAGGTAACAAGCACAATGATTAAAAATACTGAGAGATCTAGTTAAACCAAATCAGGGCTGCAGTTAAGCAAATTTCTGCTTAATGAAAAAATATATGTGATCAAAACAAAAGTTCTTTTAAGACAAAATTGTTTTCAAATTTCCATGAAACTATTATCTTAATGTGTCTTATTTATATTAATTAAAATATCCACAAATGCCAATGTTACAATGATATTTCCTTGAACAGAGTCATTCATATTTCATACCAGGAATAAAATAAGTGAGCTCATTGCATAAAAGGAAAATTGGGTCAAACATTTGTATGAAAATAATGTTTACCTTGCAATTTGGAAACAATGCCTAAATAAGAGTAATGGCTGCATACAGAGAGTAGGACAAAAACAACATGAAATAAAAAAACAGCATATAAGGTAATATAAAAATAGCATATTGCTATAAAATAGGCTTCAAAAGATGGAATGCTTGGAAAGCAGTTATATTATTTATAGATAGGGTCAAGTTCAGGTTGGAGATGATTATGAACATAGAAATCAGAAATAATAAAGTGCTTTCCTTTCTCCTTTCACACAACAACTTCCAAATCATTTTGAGTTTCTCATGGGGAATTTCAAAGATAAATCCTCAATAAATTAAAATTTGAAAACATGAAAGTATTCACTAATACATCATATTGTCGAGGTATGTATGTTTTATGAATATTTAAGATTATGATAGAAAGATTAGATTAGAAAAATAGAAAACTAGTTCCACATTTCCTATGAAAAAGGAAGTATTCAAAAGTTTTATCTAATTGCTGAGAATTTCTAACATTTCTAATATAATTTATCTGATCAGTTAATGAAGAAAAAACTGTAAATGTAAGTAGCATCCTATTCCATTATAACATTAAATAGTGAAAAGCTAATATTACTTTTTTAACATTGTTTATGTTAAGTTTCCACTTTATGGCCTGTTATGGAGAAAACTTAATGTTTTTAAAAGACATAACTCATAATACATGAATAATTTATTCTTTTCAAAAGCCTGAAAACCCTTAATTTTTATTTTTCTCTGACTTTAAAAAATTATTTCACAAAAGCATTAATTAATCCAAATGCCTGAAACAGTGCAAACCATCAAAAAGAACTGAATGTTCACTGTATATCTGACAGTTCTATAAATAAGTGACAGAACAGTTTGAAACAGATTTAAGTGGAGTGCGTGTTTGTGAATGCATGCATGCACTTATATTTGCTTTGTTGTCTATAAAGCTAGAGCAGTAGTGGTGAACCTATGACACGGGTGCCAGAGGCAGCACTTGGAGCCCTCTCTGTGGGCACATGGGCCATTGCCCCAGTCTTGCCTCCCCCCATGACCCCCTCCTCTCCAGCAGCCCCCCTGAAGGAGAATTTCCCTCAAGGGTGGCCCACACGGAGCAGTGCAGCCAAGGACATGGCAGTCAGTGAGCGTAGACAAGACTCTGCCCTCACACCCCATCATGCAGTTGATGCTGCAGAGCGTGGGCAGAAGGTGTGGCCGCCATAGCACTGCTGGGCTGCCAGGGTGATCTGCAGCGGGGCCTGGAGGCGGTAAGTGGTCCTGTGGGGAGGCGGGGTGGGGGATGGGGGGGCAGAGTGGGGGTGGGGCAGGGGGTAAAGCAGGGTGGGGCCAGTTTGGGGGCACTTGGTCTCTAAAAGGTTCACCATCACTGAGCTAGAGGCATATTTTTCTTCCCTTCAAATCTATATTCCCTTCAAATCTATATTGCAAATTTCTGTAGAAAGGAAATGACCTGAAAATCACATGGTGGATCCTAGATTGGTTAAAAAAAAGTATAAGAATGTATATAAAAGCAGGAAATAGAGAAAACAAGTTTGCAATCAAGCAGAAACTTCCACCTGTGTGCAAATGCAACCATTCCCGATCTTTTCAAAGGATAGCTGAAGGGAGAAGGGAAAGGAAGGATTGTTCTCAGTACCACAAAGCTGTCTGTAGCATTTTTAAAAATGCAGAATAAAATCATCTTATTTAAACAAGGATTGAGACATTCCTCCTTTTTTCCAAAGGTTTCATTCATACAGGTGTTGCAAAAAATGAACAGGCTCATCAATTAATAGAATCAAAGCTTAATTTTCAATCAAGATGTTGAGAGACAAAAAGCAATAAACTACTTAAGTGTGTAAATTAGCATAAATTGCTTTGTTTTTTATTACTCAAAAGCCACAGTTTTACTATGTGACTCTATAAAATCAGAACAATAGCCTGAAACAAAATGACTTGTGTACACATGAATTATTTTTTGATGGGAATGTTTTGCTAGGTGCTTGCATGTAATATATACTTTGTTAAGTTTTCTAGTATATAGGATATCGTTGTTAAACTTTATTTCCCCCCAAAAAAGTACAAAATAAATTCCCAAAAGGACGGGGGGGGGGGGGCGATACACAGCTGGGAAGAGTTGAAGTAGAGGCCAGTACATTAGGGCAGGGGAAGTGTGATGTCCTGGCTAAAAACTCTTATGGTCTTGGCCTAACAATAGCAACTGGGACTACTGGAGCTGCGGTTACAAAAAGGTGCAGTCAAATGATGTTTTGCCCAATGACCAATAATAGTATATGGGAAAGACCTTGGGAAACAATGCAAAGAGATGCTATGTAGGGAATGGTATTATTTTACTATGATATGGTTTAAGGCTTTTAACTACTTCTTTAAGGTTTTTTGCTCAAACTATTCTCCTAAGAACAGCTGCCAAAACCATAATACATTGACCCAAGGAACATTGCTCAACCCATATTCAAAGCATCTTCAACTGGCTATTATCAACCATTTACTTACATTTTGGTTTCTGAAAAGCTTGTGAGCATGGTGAAATGATTAAAAGCTATCTTATAGCAGTGTGAAGTGTACTATGAGTTAGTTTGAGGTAGTTAGTTAAGGTATCAAACTAGAAACTGGGACATCGTGAGTTCTAGTTCCACTTTAGGCATAAAGCCAGTCAAGTCACCTTGGGCCTGTCATTCTGTCTCAGCCCTAGGAAGAAGGCAACAGCAAGCCATTTCTGAAAACTTGGTAGGAAAACTGCAGGGTCCCAGCAAGCCACCATAAGTCAACACTAACTCAAAAGCACAAAAAAATGTGTATTGCATTTCAAATTAAACAACTTTTAGTTTTTTTCCAGTTTCTGCATTTGTCCATCTTTTCCCCCTAAACAAAACCACACCAAACCAAAGTAGCATTGTTGTTGGTGAATCTTTGACCCTCAAAAAAAAAAAAGGTTCTTTTCTAAATGGAACGACATAGGTATCTCTTCAAGTCCTTTTCATTTAGCAGAAAACTAGTGGAAGAAATTGACAATGGGCATAAAAAAAAAAATTCAAAATCCATGTAACATTATCTCTACTGAATGCTCTCAAGGCCAATGTGGAAACATTTCATACCAGCTG